TTCTCAAGCCTCCGATTTGCCGGCTTGAACAGTCAAAACTCACCACAAGCAGAATGTGAGCCGCTGAAAAATCTTGGCTTTCGGCTTCAATATCTGGAGGTATATCGAATCCCAGGGCATCCACGCTTGGTCCCGTATTGACTCGAAATAGGAGCAAGGACAGCCGGACATTTCCGTTATCGATTCACAAGTGCACCTTTGGTCGATGCGGCCCGAATTGATCCAGCTCCTCATTGATGCACACGCCTCGTTCAACCTCTTACCGCGAACCCTTTTCCTCGCTGTCAATATTCTTGACCGATACTGCTCAAAACAGACCGTTTACGAACAATATTACAAGCTAGCGGGCCTCTCGGCGCTTCTTATTTCATCGAAGCTTGTCGATCCTCCGGACCATACGCCCCATATGCAAGACCTTCTTAAATTTTGCCAATGTGACTACGATCGTTCCATACTCATCAAGATGGAGAGGCACATCCTCAAAATTCTTGACTGGTCCATGAGGAATGCTACTGTTTACGACTTCGTGCAGCTCATGACCGCGATGGAGGGTCATGACGAAGTAGTCCAGCACATGGCAACGTACCTCGGGGTGCTCTCCCTGTCGTATCGTACTTTCGTGGAGACTAAGCCATCGGTTATGGCGCGATCATGCCTTACCGTCGCTGGCTTTGTGCTTAACGGAGCCGGTGAGCACCTTGTGCTTTGCGACCCTTTGGACTGTTGGATCTTTTCCATATTTTGTAACACTTCAAAACCCGCAAATGAAGCCGTATTTCAGAAGTATACTGTTGCTAGGTTCTCGGACGTATCTCAGAAGCTGGAAGCCCCTAGAGATCAACAATGTCCGCTGCTACAGAGTCAAAAGCAATTGGAAGAGAACTGAGAGTTCCCAAGAAGCGGAACGTATTCCGTGAAGTGTAGGACACGCCGATATCGATTCGGGAATACCGAACGAGATTCCTTAGCTCGCAAGGCTTCTCGTTAGCTTGTGCGATCTGCACTGGTGGTTAAATGATTATGCCAGAGACCTTCATCGTGAAAAGGCAGGCTCCTGTGTTCAGCTTCATAGTACCATGGCCTGAAGGTTGCTCTAAGGACCAAAGTCATGGGACAGAAAGTATTTTATACACGAATAAACATGACGTAGATCAATAAAGACGTTCCGGACAACGCTTTTACCTTCCTTTTTTAAATGAGGTACAAGAAATAGATTAACAAGACCGGAATATATAATCATCCATGATGGGGAAGCTCATGTTGTTCTGTATCGGTCGGCGAACTGGATATCACCTGACACGGTCGCAAGATAACTACAGTTGTAGACTATAGTCGTTGCTATCGTACAATTGCTTTGCTGGTATTTGAAAGTTTTTTTT